AAAGAACTGAACAGCCAATAGCAAGGCAGGAGAGAGAGAGAGAGAGACAGGGCTGGCAGGCAGAGAGGATATATAGAGGGAGAAATCTGGGAGGAGAGGAGAGGAAGATCTAGGAATGAGAGAGGAGGAGGAGGAGGAGGACTCCAGGGGTCAGCCACCCAGCTACACAGCCAGCCATGGAGTAAGAAACAAAGAAAGGTATTTAGGAATAGAAAAGAAAGAGCACAGAGGCAAAAGGTAGATGGGATAAGTTAAGGAAAGCTGGTTAGAAAAAAAAGCCAAACTAAGGCCAGGCATTCATAGTTAAGAATATGCCTCTGTGTGTGATTTATCTGGGAGCTGGGTGGTGGGGTCCCCCCCAAAAAGAGTAAAAACCTCCAACAACACTCTCCCTCTCCCTTTCTCTCTCCACTTTTTCCTTTCCTTCTCCCTCCTCTCTCTCTGCCATTCTCTTGGGAGGACACTTGTCCTTGGATTTAATGCTCCTCTGATAATCCAAGATGATCTCATCTTAAACCACTTACTTTAATTACATCTGCGAAAAACCATTTTTCCCCCCATGGAAGGCCACATTCACAGATTCTAGGAAGGCATCTTTGCAAAGGCCACCATTCCACCTTCTATAGCTCCTTGCCAATTATCTTCCTAAGGTGGAAATTGTTCAGGGGAAAAAAATGTCCCACTGAAGATATCCTGCTGCAAAGCCCCCTAGGGAATGGGGTGCTGGGATGGGGTTAGGAGGTGGGAACTGCTGGCTCCTGCAGAGACCCTCCTGGTACAGGAGCCTGCTGAGCAAGTCAAAAGAGCCCCCAAATGGGTTTCAGTCCAGCAGTGTTTCAGCACTGCCCTGTCTTGACAAAGGTTAAAAGGCACCATTGGGCAAAGGGTCCACAACATCCTCCCAGAGAGGGCTTTTCAAAAGGAAACTGGATGTACCAGGCAAAGGCAGCATACGACTTCAAACTCAGCACTCAGGATGCAGGGGTAGGAGGATCTCTGTGAGTTGAGGCCAGCCTCGTCTACACAGTAAGTTCCAAGCTAGCCAGCACTACATAGTAAGGCTTGGGTCAATAAATACATAAATGAGAGTGGGGGGAAGGAAAACCTTGGAACAATGCAAAAAAAAAAAAAAGGCAGCTCACTCAGACATTATGACAAATGAATGAATAATAATTCATTTGAGGGACTACTATATATCTCTATAGTTGAGCTAGGGAGTATTTCAATGATATTTTAAGATAGGGTCTCATATAGCTTAAGCGTGCCTTGAATTTCCAATCCTCATGCCTGGGTGCTGGGATTACAATCACAGGCCTCTTACCTAGCTGACAAAGATTTCTGTCTGGTTACAATTTTTTAAAGATTCATTATGTGTGTGAATGTTCTGCTCCATGGATGCATGGCTGGTGTGTGAGGTCAGAAGACAGTGTCAGATCCCCTAGAACTGGAGCTCTAGGAGGTTTTGAGCCACCACATGGGTGCTGGTAATTCAACTTGGGTCTCAACTGCTCAGCCAACTCTCCACACCCTGAAAAAAATTTTTTTTTCAAAGCTATAATGTATTTGGTCTTTATTTTTTATTTATTTCAAGACAGGGGTTCTCTGTGTAACCCTGGCTGTTACACTCTGCAGCCCAGGGTAGCCTTGAACTCAGAGATTCACCTGCCTCTGCTTCCTTGGTGCTAGGATTAAAGGTGTGGGCCGTCATCACCATAGGGCTTTGTATTTGTATTTGTTGGTTTTTTTGTTTTGTTTTGTTTTTTTCCTTCGAGACAGGGTTTCTCTGTAGCTTTGGAGCCTGTCCTGGAACTTGCTCTGTAGACCAGGTGAACTCACAGAGCTCCGTCTGTCTCTGCCTGAAGAGTGCTGGGATTAAAGGCGTGTGTCACCACCGCCAGGCGTAGGGCCTTGTATTTGTTATTTTTTTTTTTGGTTTTGGTTTTTTGAGACAGGACTTCTCTGTAGCTTTGGAGCCTGTCCTGGAACTCACTCTGTAGGCCAGGCTGGCCTTGAACTCACAGAGATCTGCTAGCTCTGCCTCCCAAGTGCTGGGATCAAAGACGTGTGCCACCAATGCCCAGGGCCTTGTATTTGTAAAGTCTTGTTTTTTTTTTGAATCAGTACTTGATGCTGAATAGTTATTATTTTTGTTCTGTTTGAGACAGGGTCTCATTTTGTAGCTCTGGTTGGCCTACAACTCACTATGTTATGTTGACCAGGCTGGCCTTGAAGACACAGAGATCTTCTGCCTCTGCCACAACACCTAGCAGGTACTAGCATTTTTTTTTTTTTTTTTTTTTTTTTTGGTTTTTCGAGACAGGGTTTCTCTGTGTAGCTTTGCTCCTTTCCTAGAACTCGCTTTGGAGACCAGGCTGGCCTTGAACTCACAGAGATCTGCCTGGCTCTGCCTCCTGAGTGCTGGGATTAAAGGCGTGTGCCACCACCGCCCAGCGCATTTTTGTTAGATATATAACCCGTCACCCCTATCTTAATCCACATGGTTTATAGCTGTATTCTGCAGCTGCTAGCAATTTTAGAGAATTAAAGTGCATTATATGGCTTTGGAGATAATACAGTCTTGTTAGATTCACGAGGTGGCATTAACCTACTAAACACAATGTGAGATACTCTGTGTGGCTACTATTTCTAAGCGAAACAGTCATATCCATTTTAATTTTGTAATTTTATTGAAGTTAGCATCAAGTTAAAAAATCTTATATGTGAAGCTCATTGATTAATATACACATGCACAAAATATATTATGTACAATACTGTATTTAAAGATCTAAAATATTCCAGAACAAACAATACCTCAACACCATTCCTGCTGCTCCAACTAATTCTGTTCTCGAACTTCATGAAAATGGAAACATACAATATATTTTACTGGTGAGTCCAGCACCACTTGTGATGACACCATCATTTTCCCATTTTACCAGCTATCAGCCTTCATGAAATATGTGAACATACTGGATGTATAAGTCTGTTGCTTGTTTTAGTTAACTAATCAGCCTGTTTATTATTCCATAAATATAATACTGTTGTCATGAATATGTTGTACATGCCTATGATCCTAGTACTTGGGAAGCAGAGGAAGGAGGATGTCAAGTTTAGGACCATACTGGACTACAATGTAAGACCCTACCAAAACAAAACAAAACACAAACCACACAAGCCAGGTCTGTAATCCCAATGACTTGGAGAAGGAAAAAAAGTACTTGCTTCAGTTTCAGAACAAGTTCAAGTCTAGCTTGCTGAACTCAGTGAAATTCTTTCTCAAAATCTAAAATAAATAAATAACCTTTAGTTTTATATGCATGAATATTTTGCAAGCATGTATATGCACCAAGTGTGTGCCTGGTGCGTGTGGAGACCAGAAGAAGGCATTAGATCTCCTGGGACTGGAATTACAGATGGCTGTGAGCAGCCACGTGGGTGCTGGGAATCAAACACCAGTCTTCTGAAAGAGTAGTCAGTGTTTTGAGCTAATGAGTCATCTCTCCAACCTAAATTAAAAAATAAATAAATAAAAGCTGGGGCTATAGTTAAGTAACAGAGTGCTTGCCAAGCACATGCAAGGCCCTGAGTCTAATCTGCAGTATCTAAAAAGAAAAAAAAAAGGAAATAAGAAAGAAACAAAGGATTAAAGGGAAGAGGGAGGGAGAGAGTTCCTGAAGGCAGCAAAAGACTAACGGTCCTGGGGATACAGATCAGTGGTTGAATGCTTGCCTACCAAGGACGAGTGCCTAGGTTCATGCTGGAATACTGGGAAAGGCAAGCCAACAAATAAAAGCAACCCAGAAAGTCTGTATTAACACATTTGCCACCAGGACCGAAGTTCTCAGATCTTTTCTGGACTATTCTTGAGTTTGTTTCTGGACTCTATTCTGCACCCCTCCCCTTTTAAGACAAGGTCTCACTGTTTCTCCTCAGGCTGGCCTTGAGCATCCTACAAGTCTAGCAAGGCCCATTTCACCTTACCAGGTTTAACAGCACTTTCTGTCCTATATTGTAATCTTTTCAGGTAACTCTATCCCACAGAAATTCTTTGAAGGGTGTGGTGGCAGATGCCTGGAAATTCTAGCATTTAGGAGGTAGAAGCGGCAAGATCCCAGGTTGAAAGTTGGGCTGGTTTTTGAGACCATTTCAAAACAAACCAACCAAACCCCCGCCCCCAAACAAAACCCAAACAACCCAAACTCCAAACATCCAAACCCAAAGAATGTTCTTTGATGACACAAACGTTCTACTTGTGCTTTCGACCACAAGGCAGCCACTAGCCATGTGAGGCTACCGAGCAAAAGCGGCTAGACACTGAGAAATGGATTCAGAGGTTTTGTTCTTTGCCCCCAGTGTTGGGGGATGAACACAGGGCTTCACCGAATTTCTAATTCCAGAGCTGAGTTAATAGTAGAAAAAAATTTAAAATTTAATATTGGACGGCACATTTCATGTTTCTTTACCCCTTCACAGTTCTTCACTTGATCTTGGCTAAAAGGCCGAGAAGCATCTTCCACATCTCTTAAGATTGTCAGATGGTAAGATTTTTAAGCACATGAGTTCACCAACATTGAGTTATCTTAAATCTGAGGCAAAACGATTTCCGGAGCCAGGCACTTGTTTCGTAGAAGGGGACTTACATGTACTTTGAACAGACAACACTAACTTTGGAGCTGTGAGTCTTATTCTAAACAAGACACTCTCCCAAATGCCTTCACTTTTCCTATAAAGCTTTGTTTGTCACAAAACTTGTTGGGACCGACTATGTTCTAAAGTTGAACAAAGGCCATTAGACCAACCTAAATGCTATTTAAATAGAATTCATATCCTGCATTTTAAAAAACTTGAAGACTAAGGAGAAAAGGAGAACCGGGGCGGCGAGGAAGGCGAGGCTGGCTGGTGACTTTCCAGGGACTTTCTCACCTCCTGGGCCAGACAAGGTCCCATGTAGCTCCAGGGTGGTGCCCGGCCCCGCCCCTCCCACCTGGGCACTCTCCGGACCACGCCCCCTCGCGCCCGCCCCGCCCCGCCCCCGAGACGTCCGACCCACGCGGCGCCGAGGCGGCGCGCTGACGTCCGACGCTCCAGGTACTTTCCCCAAGGCCCGCTCGGCTCGACGTGGGGGCGGGGCGGGGCGCGGAGCGCGCATGCGCCACAGCGCCAGCGCTCTCCCCGGATAGAGCGGGGCCCGAGCCTCTCCGCTGTGGTGGTTCCGCTCCCGCTCGCGCTCTCCCGCCGCCATGTCGGCCACCATCGAGCGGGAGTTCGAGGAACTGGACGCTCAGTGTCGCTGGCAGCCGTTATACTTGGTGAGTCCTCAGGCCCGCGCGGCGTCTGGGTTCGTCCGCGGACCCGAGCTCGCGCCTGCCGGCTCCGCGTCGCCTCCCCCGCCTCCCGTTCGGGCGGAAGTGGCGAGCGCGGGCCGCGTCAGGGGCGCGCCTGCGCGGAAAGCCCTCGCCCCTTTTGCGAGGGCTTTAGACGGGGAGCATCGAGGTGGCTGCAGGCTGTTGGTTCCGAAGGCGGCGCCACAGCGGCGCCTGCTGGCTGCGTGGCCCGGCCCCGGCGTGTGGTGCGCTGGGTAGCGGTTCGAGGGACGTCGGGAGCGGGCTGAGAAAGCCTCCGGCTTCCTCCCCGACAGCGTTCTTGACGCCCGGTGTTCGGTGGCGGAGCGCACTTGGTAGCCCAGGCAGCGAAAAGGGCGACAGAGCCCTCGGGCCGGGGCCAGCGAAAGCGAAGCGGGGTGCCGGTGACTTGCCGTATCCCGGGGGCCTGTGGAGATGAGCAGAGCTGGAGCTGAAGCGGCGGCGAGAGCTCCCGAGGGATCGGGGATCGCCAGTCTTTTCATGGGCTGCTTTCTCCGGGAGAGTGGGGTCATTTCTCTGCTAGAGCTTCCCGGAACAACCAGAAGCTTTGGTTGTCTTATCAGTGGTCAAAGTAGCGTCCTCTTTAAAATTTCCTTTGCTTAGGCATACTTTATAAACGTGTGTACAGTGCACCACAGATCTTTATGTGAGTTTTGCTTTGGAGCGCGTTTCCCAAGTGAGTGCACCGATGGTTGTAGCACTCATTTTTTCAGCCCCAGAGAGGCCACATGTCCATAGGTTGCCGCTGATTTCTGTCATCAGAATAGCCTTACCTACCTATTCAGCTCATGCTAAAGTGTTCTGTACTACGAACGTTTGTGATTTTTACAGCTAGTGGGTTACCTTTTATTCCAGGCAAAACTTTCTCCCCTTACAAATGATTCATTGCTAATCATTAACATATTGCTCCCAAGATTGAATTTAGCGATTGGTGAGTTATTAAATGTGTCTCCTTATGTTTTGGCTCATTCTAACAGTACAAAAAGAAGCTAGAAAGCTTGTTTTACCTCTGGATGATTCTGTTCTCCCCCCCCCCCATTACATTTAATTAGATGACAGTAAAATTTTCTTTGGTTTTTTTTTTTTTTTTTTTTTTTTTAAGTACTTATTTCTTCCCTCATCCCTTTTGAGACAAGGTCTGGGTCTGTAACTCTTGCTGGCCTGGAACTAGCTTTGTAGACCAGTCTGACCTTGAGCTCACAAATCCTGTCTTTGCTTCCTGAGTGCTGGGATTAAAGGTGTGTGCCACCACATCTGGCTAGAACATATTTTCTTAAACACTGTAGCAACCAATATATTAAACACCCTGATTTGCCAGGTTCAGCATACGTTAGAATAAATCACTAGTTTTTATCATCATCATCATCATCATCACATGGGGAGGGGGGCAGGCATGTCCCTTGGTGTTTGTGTGGAGATCAGAGGACAACTTTCAGAATTTGGTGGTCCTGTACCATGTGGGTCCTGGAGATAGAACTTGGGTATCAGACTTGGCAGCAAATTCCTTTTACCCACTGATCCATCTTTCCAGCCCAGGCACTAGTTTCTCAAGAATGTTAATAAGGACTCTTCCAATGATATAATCTGTGTTATGCTATATTTTGTTTTGTGACAGGGTCTCAGTGTAGCCCAGGCTAGCCTTGAACTCCTGATATTTGGACTTCTGTCAAAGTCCTGGGATGAATGAAATTGTAGAAAATCTTATATGCAAATTCTAGTTCATTTTTATCTGTGTGTGTGTGTGTGTGTGTGTGTGTGTGTGTGTGTGTGTGTGTGTGTGTACCTCCAGGTCTCTTTTCTGTGCTTAGAATGGTTTTGGCAGAGACTGCTGCCTCAAAAGTGCAAATGATATAAGAAGTACAGACTTAAGAAGGAAAAGATTGCCCAGCAGTACATGCCTTCAATCCTGAAATTCAAGAGAGGCAAAGGCAGGAGGTCTCTGAGGTGGTTTTGTTTGTTTCTTTTTGAGATTTCCTATGTAGCCTTGGCTGGTGTTGAACTGAGACCATCCTGCCTCTGCTTCCTGGGTGCTAGGACTTTTTTTGTTTGTTTGTTTTTTGAGACAGGGTTTCTCTGTGTAGTTTAGGAGCCTGTCCTAGAACTCACTCTGTAGACCAGGTTGGCCTCGAACTCACAGAGATCCGTCTGCCTCTGCCTCCCAAGTGCTGGGACCAAAGGCGTGCTGTGCCGCCGCTGCCGCCGCTGCCACCACCACCACCACCCGTCTCTTCCAGAGGGGCTTGATTGATTCCTAGCACCCATAAGCAGCTCACAACTATCTCTAGCCCCTGTTCCTGGGGATCTGAAGACCTCTTCAGACCTCCAAGGACACCAGGTATGTACATGGTGCACATGCAGGCAAAATAACTACACACATAAAATTAGGGGTGTGTGTGTGTGTGTAAAAACAGTTTTTAAAGGGCTATTACTACAAGTTAATTTAGCCTAACATTTATTTTTTGAGACAAGGTCTTGCTTAGTATCACAAACTGGTTTGAAATTTACTATGTAGCCCTACTAGGTTTGGATTTGTGGCAGTCCTTCTACCTCAATCTCCTAACTGCTAGGATTACAGGTATGAGCCACCATACTTGGCTTAATTGGGTATACACATGTATAACATTAATGTCCTTGAGAAGTCAATGAAAGTTGTAATCCCTCTTAACAGCAAAAAAAAAAAAAAAAAAAAAAAAGCACTTATTGCTGGGTGTGGTGGTTCAGCCTGTAACCTAACAGTTAGGAGGCTGAAAAAAGCACGGGGATTGTTGTGAGTTTAAGACTAGCCTGTAGCTGGGCATTGGTGGCCCATACCTTTAATCCCAGCAGAGGCAGGCAGATCTCCTGGGTTTGAGGCCAGCCTGGTCTACAGAGTGAGTTCCAAGCCATTCAGGACGATGGAGTAGGATCTTGTGTACAAAAAAGATTCTAAATAAGTAAATGCCAGTCACAGTGGCACATTCTTTAATCCTAGCACTTGGGAAGTGGAGCCAGAAAAAACCTGGAGTTCCAGGCCAGCCTGCCTAGGGTAATTGAGACTCTGTCAGAAAAAAAATCTTGCTGTCAAGGTGGCTCTGTGCGTTAACTCATCTATTGCCAAGCCTGAAGACGACTTGAGTTCAGTCCTCTGATCCACATGGAAGGAGAGAGTCACCTTTTTTCACAAATTGTCCTCTGACCTCCATTCAAGTGCCTTTTTAAGTGCACCCACAATAATAACAAAGTTAAAAATATAATTTAAAAAATTGGAAGGTAGGGGAGATGACTCATTTGGTAAAATGTTTGCCATGGAAGGATGAGCACCAGTGTTTAGATCGCCGCCATTCACATTAAAAAAGCCAGGTGTACATCTCTAATCTTAGTGCTGGGGAAATAGAGACAGGCAGATCTCTGGGCTCTCTTGTGAGCCAGCCTTGCTGAATCGGTGAGCTCCAGCATCCTTGAGAGACCCAGTCTCAAAAAATAAGGTTTGGGGGCTGGAGAGATAGCTCTGGTTAGGAGGACCCTAGTTCGGTTCCCAGCATCTACATCAGGTGGCTCAGAACTGCATGTAACTCAAGTTCCAGGAGATCTGGCATCTCATGGCCTTTATAGGGAGTGCAATCTTGTGTACAAACACATATACACACACAATTAAAAATAAAGATAAAATCTTTAAAAAAAACAAAAAAACAAAAAAACAAGTGTAGCCCTGGCAATGGCAAGATGATTCAGAGCCTGTGTTTCCTGCCAAGCTTGACAATCTTAAGTTTGATCCTTGGTGTCCACGTGATGGAAGAAGATAACTGACTCCTACAACTGGTTCCCTGATCTCCACATGCGTGTATGGCCCATAAATAAATGTCAGAAAATAAATACAGGGAAAAATGCATCTACTTGTTTCACTGAAAATTTCATACTCCATTGTAAGGAATTCAGAAAACTCGCCCTTAGACTAGTACCCAAGATCTTTAAGCAGAACAGTAGTTTATGCTGGCACTTTCTTTTCCAAGCTCAAGAGCATTAAAACTGTGTTAATTGGTGTTATACTAAAAGCAAGTCAGGAAGAGTTTGAACTTAATGCTTTCTTAGGATTCTAGAGCATCTATTTCCCCATTTCACAGAGAAGGCTGTAGACAAGATGTCTGCTACCAAGGCTCTGATTCAGTGAGTCTTGAGGACCTCTTTGGAAGCTCCTAGTTTGCACTCTTGTTGGCCTCTTGGTTTAGCAGGTTCTGTGTCAGTCTCGTAATCTGAAGGGCATTTGTTCTCAAACCTGGTAAGTGCTAGGTGCTAATAGTTGGCACTGTTTAAAGACAACACTAACCTGGGCAGTGGTGACACAGGCCTTTAATCCAACACTCAGGAGGCAGAGGCGGGCAGATCTCTGAGTTTGAGGCTAGCCTGGGCTGCAGAGTGAGTTCCAGGACAGCCAGGGCTACACAGAGAAACCCTGTCTTGAAAAACCAAAATAAATAAATAGAAAAAGAAAGACAACATTCATTAGGGTCCAACCTAGTGGGAAGTAGTAAATGGCTCAGCAGGTAAAGGTGCTAACCAAAGCTTGGCAATCCGAGTTCTATTCTTGGAACCCATGTACAGGTGGAAGGAGAGAACTGACTTCACATTCTTCTCTGCCAACACACGTGCTGTGGCATACACACACAATAAATAAATGTTTTGTATGTGAAAGCAAGGGGTGTGGCTCAGTTGATAGAGTGCTTGCTGGGCATGCATGAAGCCCTGGGTTCAGCCCCCAGCAAAAGTAGGGGATAATGGTGCATACCTGGAGTCTCAGTACTCTGGAGATAGAAGCAGAAGGATTAGAGGTTCACTATTATCCTTGGGTGCATAATTTGAGGCTAACCTACTCTATGTAAGACCTGTCTCAAAAACAGGTTGGAGAGTTATCCCTTGTTATTGTTTTTTTTTTTTTTTTTTTTTTTTTTTGGTTTTTTCGAGACAGGGTT